ATTGATGTTTGAACGTTGAACTACTGTTTTCGAAAATGCCAAAAATCAGTATGAAACAACCTTATAATTACCGATGTAGTTATACTTGTTAAATAATAAATATTTTTATTCTGGTTGTATCTCGCTCAATATTGCATGTAAATTCAATTGCTATAGATATATATCAAAATCGAAGTTAGTCCTTTCTGAATGCATTGATCTTTATTTCATTGCGATAACTTTTATAGCTTTTATGACACATGCAATCAAAGACAAAGAGTGTCAATTTGGGGTTTTTTGGGACACCTGGTAGGTCTAATGGCAGACAATTTATTCGTCAAGGGAAAATTGCTTTGAATGGGTTAACATTACATATGATTACAGTTATGAAATGTTTATTTCAGGCTCAGGGAAATCTTACACCATGATGGGAAGTTCGACACAAACTGGAATCATTCCACGTCTTTGTGATGACATGTTTGAGAGAATCTCAAATGTGAGTCAGCCATCCAAGAGCTCTGAGCGTGAATAATAAAATCACTGTCACTGACTGTTACGTTATTTTTGCAGAATGAAGACGAAAACATCTCGTTTAAAGTTGAAGTATCGTACATCGAAATTTATAATGAAAAAGTTCGAGATTTGCTCAATCCCAGCGGGTAATGGCGATGAGAAACTTTTTTATAGAATTCGTCAGACATTTCTTGTCTAATTTCAGTGTGTTCATATAAATATGTGTTCTTTCACAGTGGGAAACAAACGCTGAAAGTCAGAGAACATAAAGTGACAGGACCCTACGTTGATGGATTAACAAAACTCGTTGTCTCATCATTCCAGGTTTGAGTCCATTTTCACATTTTGTTCAGTTTGGGACATTGGCAATACAAAATTAGTTTTGTCTCTGTTATCGATTTCACTACGATTTGTCATATCTTGCTTAGTTCTCGAAATATTTAGACCGAATGTAATGAGCTAAATTTATATAATAACTATAGTGAAACACGCAATTTGATTGGTCAATAGCCGTGCAGGATCAGGCTATCCTGCACGAGGAATTAAAATGCTTTCGCGGGATTTTCGCGGGACTCTCAAAATGTCATTGTTTCACTGTAGTTATTTTATAAAACAATTACCAAATAGTTTTCCAAGCAGGATAGCGTGATCCATATACTTGGGATGCTTCTCGACTTTCGGAAAGCGTAAAAATATAGTCGCCTGCGGCTCGAGTATTTTTACGCTTTCCAAAAGTCTCGCGACATCCCTCGTGCATGGATCACGCAATTTTGCACGGAGAACCATTCGGTATTCCTTTATTCTTGCACTAATTCTTTCCGCCATCTTGGACTAATTCTTGACATCATTAAGTATGGTTTTGATGACCTCAGGAGTTGGGTTAACCATATAAAACTACTCTAAAATGACCGAGTAACATTCCAAAATTGTTTGAAAAGTTTTTAATCATTTCTAAGTTTTGGACCCATATTGATCGCTTATTCTGAAGATAAAAAATTAGCGTGACCCCTCTCTTGACGTAACATGCATATCCTCAATAATCCAAGATGGCGAACAGCTCACTTTTTTTCAGTCGAAATATTTTGAAAACTAAGCAAGATATAAACAATCTGTAATAGAGTTTAATATATAGTTTTAAGAGTTCTTTCAAATGAGCTAAACTATTTTTTATTGCCAATGTCTTTTAATTAATTACGTGATATATAACAAATGAGAGAGCGTTTATTCTTTATTTTCTATTTTCAACAATTCAAAAGTCTAAAAACTCAGAAAAACCATAAAATTAATTTTCATTTCCGCCATCTTGGCTTCAAAAATCAAGCCCGAGTTATCGTTCCAGTATATATAGAGTTCACTGGTTAGATCGTTATTTTTTCTTCAGGATATTGACTCTCTGATGATAGAAGGCAACAAATCACGAACAGTTGCCGCAACCAACATGAATTCAGAAAGCAGTCGTTCTCATGCTGTGTTTAATATCGTACTCACTCTGGCTGAATTTGATGAGGAAACACAGGTAGAGATTGAGTCACACTTTATTCTAATTGTAACGTATATTTTACTGTAGTTCGTGATTGGTTAACATTGACTAATTAACAATTAGACAACGAAGCCGAGTTGTCTATGAGCGAATAGTCAACGAGGCGAAGCCGAGTTGACTATTCGTTCAGAGACAACGAGGCTGAGTTGTCTAATTGTTTTAGTATAAACCACATAAAGAAAACGGAATTTTTCACTTGATTTTTATGTAAAATAATAACGTTTTAACGAAATGAGCGTTTAAATGGCTTCCTTGGCTTTGGCGACATTTCGTCTTGGCTTTGTTGACAACTACTAAGTGTTGCGAACTCCCAAGAATGACTTGAAAAATACAACTTGTGAGTTTTTAAAAAGTTAAAAAACATGTCATAAAACAGTATAATAGTAAGAGACCGTTATAGAAGCAAAGTTTGGTTAATTAAAACTTATTTAAAAGAAGGAAACAAGGCTTAAAAAATCCAAAATTTCGAACACAAAATGGCTTCCCGAAATTTTATTAAATTAGTAAATAAAGTTTACGTCGTTAAAAAGCCGAATAAAAATGCACACACATGCAAAAGAATCCGATTATCCGAATGTCTTTGAAATCTTTAACATATCTGGAACATAAAGAGGCAAACTATTTCCATAATCTAGTATACATAGACAATATAGTTTAGATTAAAATTTAATCGAAAAACTCGACTTAAAAAGGCTCGAAAAAGACGAAAAACAAACTCGGCCAAAATCTCAACATTTAAACGAAAAAAACTCTTTAAAATGACAGCTAAATACATGAACTCGTACTTAAAACAAGCACACACTAAAGAGGTTGAGAAAATAGGGGTAAATAGCTACAAAGTATTGTTGAATTTCAACGATTCTGCTTGGAATATTAACAAACATTCTGCACATTTAAAAAATCGCCTGTCACTTTCATGTTCAAAACTACGAGCAAAGTTGAGAAAACTTAAAATTTTTACCGCATGTGTCAGCAGTTTCCAAGAGTCTTTGTTTGTGTGTAATCCAGAACCAAAATTAGGCCATTTTGATAAGCTTTTTCCCTTTTAAATACAGCTTTTAATGCTTAAAAACGGCCATTGACTCTCGTGCCCTTCGCCGCTGTTGCTACTAGTAGGCTATCACTAATAGCCTACTAGTAACGTAGCCAATCAGAACGCACGATACATGAT